TTATTTAATAAAGAAAAAATGTGAAATAATTTTTGGAAATATAGCAGGCTTCGGTTTGTGTACAAAAATAAATTACTGCTTAAGGGGCCAGAAGACAAGGTGATATTATGTGTTTAATTTGCTCAGTTATGAAAGAACCTCCGGGGTATTGGGTTATGAAAAACAATGGTTATTTTGAGAGAAAATGGAGCCAAATTGGGTGGATTTTAAACGCTTTCTGACGTGTTTAGTATTGGATGTGATTTCCAGGTTGGGCTGGGGGGTTGGGAGGCCTCCATTGTTTGCTTTATCCACTTTGGGGAAATGCTCCTTCCTCCGACTCTGTTCTGAACGCGAGCATTTCTCTAGATTGCTTTCTTGGAAATGGCAACGGAAAATGGTAGCAATAATAGGTTTTAAGGTGCTTGGCGGTGAATCATGCCATTTTATAAATTCATCTCCTTACACTTTATTTCCTTGCTGTGAGATAATTTAGACGAATGTCAGCGAGGGAAAAAGAAAGTGATTGGTGATTCCACCTCTCCCAATAAAGCAAATTCCTAATTTTCTGTCTTTTATCTTTTGCCATTCTTTTGTGCTCCTCTTTGGCCTTGTCAAAACATATCGTTCAGTTAGAGACTAAAAATATTTTCCCATCGATTGGGGTTATTGATTTTTTTTAATCTGTACTTTGGCTTGAAGAGCGCGGGTGAAGGGTGAAAGTTCACCAGCTTAGTCTGCCGTTTTATCTGGACAGCAGAAGAATGTATTGGCAGCAGATTTGATTTACCTTGTTGGGCAGTTGTAGACACATCAGCCACTGAAGACAACCCTCTAGCATGTCCTGCTGCTGCTGTCTTTATTTTTGTACCCAGGAACTCGTGAAAGATCCACTTTCCTATTGATTTTATCTCTCTGATTCCAAGGCAGAGTATTTTTTTTTTTCTTTTTATGGTTCCAAATTAGACCTTTTGGAGATGTCACAATGCTTTCTGGAATCATGATAAATAAAACAGGATTGCATGCTTCTACTGGAGTTTGGCCGTTCTGCCCATTAGGCTTACAGTCTTGGGTCAGGTCCATCCACAATGTCACAGCAGAATCTGATGTGACTGGATCAAATTTGCTGAGATCTTCCTGCCTCCTCATCATGGCTGGTCAGAAGCACATGCTCAGGGCAGTGTTTAACTCCTCATATGGGTCCTAAGATGGCACCTAAAATTTCCTAACGAGCACCAGTGTGGAAGATAGCACCATAGCCTTGTAAGAGGGAAAGAATAGTGTCGTGACTAAGAATATGGCTTCCTAATACATTAGAATCCCAGCCTTAGTACTTGCCAGCTGGGTCACCCTGGACTAGTTGCCTAATCTCTTGGGGCTTTAGTTTTCTTATGTGTTAAATGGGGGTGGAAATTGTACTATTTCATCAAGTGGTCGTAGGCTCATATGAATAAATACATATAAAAGTCCTAGAGGGGCTGGCCCCGTGGCCGAGTGGTTAAGTTTGTGCGCTCTGCTGCAGGCGGCCCAGTGTTTCGTTGGTTCGAATCCTGGGCGCGGACATGGCACTGCTCATCAGACCACGCTGAGGCAGCATCCCACATGCCACAACTGGAAGAACCCACAACGAAGAATACACAACTATGTACCGGGGGGCTTTGGGGAGAAAAAGGAAAAAATAAAATCTTAAAAAAAAAAAAAAAAAAAAAAGTCCTAGAACAGGGCCTAGTGCACTGGAAATTCTCAGGAAACGTCAGCTATTTCTATGATTACAGAAAAGGAAGCTGAGGCTGGTGTTTGTGTTGGGGGAGTGTTAAGGAACACAGAAGAGTTCACACAAAGGAGGAAAGAACCGCCTCTCAGTATCAGGGATTTTGCGTCCAGTGCCACAGCTGGCCTCCTGATTGCTGCCACAAGTCTGACCACGTGGCTTCGACCATTTGCTTGGTTCTTTCTCCTGTTGGATGTGGAAGATGTAGAGCGAAACCTGAGGTTGCTGACCGGTGGTGCTGTTGGACTCACGGAGCTCTGTGGAGAATCAGTGTGGATTTTTGGCTCCTGCCTTTGTGGAGCTGGGGCTCTTACCCTCACTGTGGGCTCAGTCCCATCCAGAACCTAGGACCATTGTTCAACCTGAGGCAAATGTACTTAAAGCCCAGAGGACAGGCTTCCCTCAGAGAGGAAGCACTGTGGTGGGCACAGTGGTTCCAGAACTTCTGTTCTACATGGAATCAGAGAGAACCTGATCGAGGAGTGCTGGGTCTGTGTTTTGACAAGCATCTTAGGGGACTTGGATGCAGGTGGTCTCAGTACACACTGTGAGAAACGTTGATACGGTAGAAAGAGCTTGGGCTCTGGACGTGGACAGACCTGTGTTTGAATTTGCTTATCAGTTACATTTATACAGGCAAGTCATTTAATCCCTCTGAGCCTCAACTGTAAAACTGCCCAGTGAACTAATAATATATCCACAGTGTTTAGCACAGTGTCTGACACCTAGAATGTGCTCCACAAATGCCAAGTTTCCCATCCCCTTCCCTGATGCAGTTTGCCTTCTTGGACTCCAGCAAATTTTACACTTTGTTGGAATTAATTTGCTGTAACTTCTCCTTCCTCATTCATGCCTGTTGTTGATTTCCTGTCTGAACTGCACGTGCTCTTACTATCCCCTTGTAAACACTTGCCTGTTTAGATAAGCTCAACCTTATTCCTACAAGTCTTCGTTCTTCTAGTTATCTGCCCTCAGTGGCATGAGGGTGACATTCCCACACCTGGGTTGGGTGTGTGAGCAGCTCTGAGGATGAGTTCCCCTTGCCTTTCCTTCACCAGCGGGACTTGGGGTCTAACAATGCTGAGGCCATATCTCGCCTCTGTCTGTGGTGCAGCTAAGCCATCTATTTCCTCAGCTGCTGTTTAGTTCCTACTGTTGTCATTTCTTGTCTGCTCTATATACTTCTCAAAAGCACAGCCAGGTGCTCCCATGATCTGACCAATGGAGGAGAAATCAGCTAACCACCCTGAGTTAGCAGATGTATCAGCCTGTAACGGACAAATGACAATTTTTTTACCCTCAATATTTAAACCTGGTTAGATAGTCAAGGCTGTGTTTTATGCGGAACTGAAGGCTTTGAATTAAACTCATGTCAAAACAGTTGTTCAGCTTTGTCTCCTCACTGAAACACATAATCAGTTGTGAGTGTAGGAAAATGCCATATGATGCGTTTCGTTAGTTGTCTAAATGGTAGTTTTCTGTAAACAAAGTCTTCAGCTTTAGTAGACCTAAAGACCTATTGGCCAAAGAAAAGTCAGAGGAATGCTGGTCTAATAAGCAGATACTCATGTGGGAATGCCACTAACACATCAGCTAGGGAAGAAAATGAAAGACACAAAGCAAAGGCTTGTAGGAATAAGGTCAACACAACTAAAACAAGAATAAACTGTCAGCTTGCAAAAACCTAATGGAGAACTAGAAAAATATCCTGGAAATATGTTTACTATAAGGTGTGGATAAAGGGATATGCCCTTCCTTTATATTAGCAAGGGAGATAATAATCTCAATCTGTCATTTGTTTTAGGGACTTCCCTAAATCTAGAATGATTTCATCTCAAAATCCTTAACTAATTACATCTTCAAAGACCCTATTTCCCAATAAGGTCACATTTTGAGGTTCTGGGTGGACATGAATTTTGGGGGACACTATTCAACCTGTTACACCACACAGGGCCAGTAGGCTTGATACAGTTCCAATATATGATGAAAATCCAGAATCTGGGCAGTATGAGGCTATCTCTTCCTGTCTCTGTTCCATTCTACCATGAGAGCCTTAGGCTGTGTTGAGAGGCTTGCATGGCGAGTGCTCAGTAGTTATTTTCTGAAAGAGTAAACTAGGGAAGGCGGATTGGGATCAAGAGAAGGACCCTGAGGATGGAGCCATTCTCAGAAGCGTCCATTTCCACCTCTTCTACAACCATTTTAATGTTCTGTGAATAGTAAAAATTAGGAGTCCACTTTTCTGGCTAGGTGGACCATTTGGATCACAAATATTTAACCCACAAAACAAATTTCCCTGTTGGAAGCAGATAAAAGCAGGATCGCAAGAAGTGTAGTGGCATTATGAGAAGAGGGAACATCCAGATGTACCTTAGTGAAAACATGCACTGATGCAGTATTAACATATTAAAAAGGATGAGCTCTGTCATTGAGTAGGGAGAGAACCACTGTGATTGATCAAATTCATAACAAGTTTAGTTGACTGGCAGTAGTTGGGAAGGATGCTCAAAATGAATAAATTCTATACTGGTTTTTAACCCTTTAAAAACAAGATAGATTCACTCATCTTGAGTGGTTTAAGGCAATAGTCACAAAGTGACAAACAGGAGCATAAAGACAGAAACATTCAGTCCATTTGGGTATGGACCCTCTTACTAGTCCTGGAAAATTGACCTATTTTATTGCATCCTTTTTACAACCAATTCCAGGTAGCTGAATTGAGTATATTTTTCATTCTGACTTGTTGACTTCTGGCTCATTAAGGCAGCCAATCCAATTAGGCAGGTTTTCTCTTGCTTTGCCTCCTGACAGAGCATCTGATTGGCTCACAGTTCTTGCTAAGTGACAGTCCTTCTACAACTGCAGATTATCTTTCTTAAAGGATCTTATCTCCTGTTCTCTCTTTAAAATGCCTGTATTTTTTTCTGGTTATGCTTAGGCTTGAGTTTTAGGGAGTTTCATTTTCAAGCACTTGAGTTTGGGTGTTTGAGGTAAGGATCTAGGCTGAGTGATGAGTTAGCTGGATTGCTAGGGTGCACATGTTGACACAATCCTTGGATTACCAACTGTGGCAGGCTGAATAAAGGTCCCCCAAAAGATATTCATGTCCTAATCTCTGGAACCTGTATTACCTTACTTATATGGCAAAAAAGGACTTTGGCAATGTAGTTAACCTAAGGATCTTGAGATAGGGAGATTATCCTGGGTTGTCCAGGTGAGCCCTAAATGCAATCATATGTTTCCTTATCAGGGGGAGATTTGATACAGATCCCCAAAAAGAAGAAAGCCATGTAAAGGAAGCAGAGGGAAGAGTCAGAGAGAGAAGATGCTATGCTGCTGGCTTTGAAGATGGAAGAAGAGGTCATGAGCCAAGGAATGCAGCTCTAGAAGCTGGAAAAGGCAAGAAAACAAATTCTTCCCAAGAGCCTGTGGTGGGAGTGTGGCCCTGGTAACACCTTGGTTTGGGCCCATTGAAACTGATTTTGGACTTCTGGCTTCCAGAACTGTCAAATAATAAATTCTCTTGCATCAAATTTGAGGTAACTTATTACAGCAGCCACAGGAAAACTTATACATCCAACAGGACCATCTCTGCCAGGACTGAATCCCTGGTTCTGAGAAATGGACTTTGCATGTGGATTGACAACAGTTATTCTATTCTTCATGTATTTGTCTGCACTTGGGTTTTCAAGGATATTTTGAATGTGATGTTTGAACTTCAACCTTCATTTGAGATACTGTCTGAAAATATTTGATGAGATTTGTTGGATTAAAATGAGAGACTTTATAAACCTCCCATATAGCAATCCAGTTTCCTTGGTCTATCAAAGCTTTTTATGTAAAGGTCACCCAACCTGAGGTTACTTATTGACCCCAATTTGCATTTAACTATATGGACACTTAGCACATCATGTACCTGCTGCTTCTTGAAATTCTCTCTTTTCCTGGAACTTCATTCTTTGTATTAGTCAGGATTCTCCAGAGACAGAGGCAATAGGATATCTATCTATCCATCTGTCTGTCTGTCTGTCTATCTATCTATCTATCTATCTAATTTTGTTGTTATGTGCATCATGTCAGCTCCCACTCCTGGTTATCCCATGAATGAATGATGTCCACAATGTCCTGTTCTCAACAATCCTACTCAGCTTCTGTAGACTCACAGAAAGAAGCCTATGGCTTCCTTTATGGAGTCAATCCATCTCTTATGTGGTTTTCCTCTTTTCCTACTGCCTTCTACTTTTCCCAGCATTATTGTTTTTCTGAAGAGTCCTGCCTTCTCACAGAGTGCCCAAAGTAGAACAGCCTCAGTTTTATCGTTTTTGCCTCCAGAGATAATTCAGGCTTAATCTGCTCTAGGACCCACTTGTTCATCTTTCTGGCAGTTCAGGGTATTCGTAGAGCTCTCCTTCAACACCATACTTCAGATGAATCATTTTTTTTTCCCATCAGCCCTCTCCACTGTCCAGCTTTTGCACTCGTACATAGTAATTGGGAATATGAGGGTGTGGATAATCTTGGCCTTCATCTCTAAAGACGCTTCCTTACACTTGATGATCTTCCTAATTCTTTCATATATATATATATGATGTAAATACATATATTTATTATAAGAAATTGGCTCACAAAATTATGGAGGCTGACAAATCCCCAAACCTGCAGTCAGCAAGCTGGAGACCTAGGAGGGCTGATGGTATAGTTCCAGCCCGAATGCTGGCAGGCTGGAGACCCAGAACGAGTTGACGTTTCAGTTTGTGTCTGAAGGCAGGAAAGAACTGATGCCCAAGCTCAAGGCAATGAGGCAAGAGGAGCTCCATTTTACTTGTGGGAGGGTCAGTCTTTTGTTTCTGTTCCAGCCTTCAATTAATTGAATGAGAGGCACCAACGACTAGGAAGGGCAATCTGCTTTACTCAGTCTACTGATTCAAACGTTAATCTCATCCAAAAACACCCTCACAGACCCAACATTTGACCAAATATCTGGGTATCTTGTGGCCTACTCATGTTGACACATGAAATTAACCATCACATTCTGTCTTAGCTGCTTTTATGTTTCTTTCTCCACAACTTTATTTTTATCCTTACTCCTAAATGTGGACATCCTTCAGAACTGAAGTTACCCAGCTATCTTCTTCCTCTCTAAACAATCTTGATACTCTCCTTACCTCACACACCCTCAGCTCCATCTCCATCCCTAACTTGATACTGAGCAAGTAGAACTTAGCCCTATTAAAATCAAACGTCTCACAATTGTACCAAATTTCCTATCCTTTAGTTTTCCATAATTCCTGCAATGGTGTCACCATTGTTCTATGCACCCAGGCTCAAAACCATGAAGGCATCATTGAACCTACCCATTTTCTTTCCTTTTCATAGAAAAAACCCACTCCCTTTGACTCTTTATTAAAAGTTTTTTCTCACAGTGCTCCCTTCCTCTTTTCCTCCCCATTCTTCTTGCATACATGATAATTCCAGCCCACAGCAAGTGGCTATGGCTGCCGCTTTCAATCAGATTTCATTTAAAAAGTACTTCTTCGGGGCTGGCCTCGTGGCCGAGTGGTTGAGTTCGCGTGCGCCGCTGCAGGCGGCCCAGTGTTTCGTTGGTTTGAGTCCTGGGCACGGACATGGCGCTGGTCACCAAACCACGCTGAGGCGGCATCCCACATGCCGCAACTAGAAGGACTCACAACGAAGAATATACAACTATGTACCGGGGGGCTTTGGGGAGAAAAAGGAAAAAAATAAAATCTTAAAGAAAAAAAGTACTTCTTCTTTGCTAGGTGCTATACTAAGTACTTTATACATATTATCTCATTTATTTGTCTCCCCAAATCCTTTAAAACAGGTGTTATTATCCCATATTTTACAGTTGATAAACTGAGGTTTAGAGAGGTTAAGTGATCTGTACAAGGTTTCCTAGCTAATAAGTAGCATAATGAGAATTAAAATCCAGGCCTATCTGAGTCCACAGCATGTGTTCTCAGAACGCCTTTTATACTGCCTCTTAAGACTTTCTGAAACTTCTTCAAACTCACTTTTCTACCATGAACCATTCCCAGTTCCAATCTTTTCTATAATCACCGACAGTAAAATCTGGAAACATGACATTTGTCAGTTGCTTTCCCTGCTCAAAAACCTTCAGGGGGCCGGTCCTGTGGCTAACGTTTGAGCGCTCTGCTTTGGTCGCCCAGGATTTCGTGGGTTCAAATCCTGGGCATGGACATGGCACCGCTTGTCGGGCCATACTGGGGCAGCATCCCACATGTCACAACTAGAAGGACCCACAACTAAAAATACACAACTATGTACCGGGGGGCTTTGGCGAGAAAAAGGAAAAATAAAAAATCTAAAAAAAAAAAAACCCTTCAGTGGCACAGAGAAATTAACTCCAGTCAAAGCTTCCTTAACAGACATATCTCCTCACCTCTTTCTGCTCCTCTACTTACCCCTGTTGAACTTACTCAGTTTTTTGTATGTACTCCCATTCCTTGGTTCATATTCTTCCTTCCATCTGGTGTAGTTGTCCTGCCTATCCCAGCTGATACATTTCAGTGCATCCTTCTACATCTAGTTCATATGTCTTCAACCTGGAAAAACAATCCAGAACTTCCACCTTCATTTTCCCACTCATAATTTTGGTGAGCATGTGATTCATTGTATTATCATTTAGTTACCAGCCTGTCTTCCTGATGGAGTGAATTATTAATTCTGACTTGTTGACAAGTGTGAGTTTGACTAGGACAAGGGTGGCATCCTACTCATCTCGGAACTGCAACTTTAGATCTCCTCTTCTCCCCCTGAGGACTAAGTCAATCATTCCTCCCTTTGCTGGGAGTGTTTGTGATTGACAGCTCTCAGCTGAATCCCTCCTCTTGAATTGCTCCAGCTGAAGAGATCAGCCCACATCCAGTGATTGGTCGATAGAGGGGTACAAAGGTCTGGCCACTTGCTTCAGTTTGGGACAACACTGAAGGGCCATTCCAGCTCCAGAGCTTCCCATGGGATTGACAGAGTCCTTTGTTGTCACTGTGTGGCTTTTCAACTTCCTCCTCTGTCTGGCCATGCTTCCTATTCTCTTGCACAGGTGTTGATCTTGAGAGCGCTTTCTGCACACAAGTCTTCCTTTTAGTGTTTATTTCCCAGGGAGCCTGACCTGTGATGGGGAGGTCTATGCTTGGCTGCCAGTAGTGTCTCAGTTAAGTAGTAGAAGGAGGCTAGGGGCTTACTGTTTAGGATGTGGGCTTTTTCTTATTCTCCTCTATTTCCACTACAGTGCTCTTGCTTCACCTCTGTCTCACAAGTTTGGATTTTCTTTGGTTCAATTTCTCCATAGAATAAACCTCTTGGCGGGGTAAGAGAAGTCTGGTTGGTTGGCGGCTTGGGAGGGAAGCCTGGGAATCTGAATGTGAGTAATATCAACGTTTGTCCACTTGTCCTATTTTCAGTCCTCATGCCTCTTTCTTCCATGCCACTGGGGCTCTCTAATTCCCCAGCCTTCCCTGGGTGCTGTTAGCGGAACTGGCTTACTGCTTATTCTTCTCTGTGGGCATTTAGTTGTCGAATTTTCACCTCTGTTAATTCTTCCAACTGCCTTCTGATTTCCCAAAATTTCTTGTCATCTCTGACTTGCTATTGTCTCCATCTCATTTTTTTTTAAATTTGAAGTTTTGTAATTTTTGCTCTCTCACTCTCATTTTAGTGAAGCTTTTGGAGGAAGCAGGGTTGAGCACAGGTGTAAAACATGTCCTGTTTGACAAGGAATATGGGAGGTTTACGGTTTCTTGCCAATTTTGCAAAGTCTTGATTTTATTTTAAAAGTAAAGCAATGATTTCTTAAGACAAATGTGGCATTTTATTTGAAAATATATTTTTATTTATTAAGGGAGAATGTGGATGCTTCGTGGAGTATTGGGGTAAAATCAGCATATTTTCTTTCACTGGAACAGTGGAAAGGGCGACATCAGCCCCTGTCTCACCCAGGCACACACAGGATGAGGGTCCCTGGCTGAGACTGAGACTTCCCAACAGTATACCTAAGCATCCAGAGAAAAATGAAACCTTTGATCAGTCACCCAGATGTTTTACCTGCATGTCAAGAACCATCCAGAGGCGTCTAAGTATCTAAATGTTTGATGCCCTGTAGACAACATAGTGGTGTGACTGCCTGAATGTCTCTCATCTAATTTCGATGTTTGGCCTCATGGAAACGCAGCCAAAGGCTGACCAACTGCATCACAGGATATGTCAATTACAATGGGATCTGAGGGTTCTAAATTAAAGATCATGCTTTTTTTTTCAGTCTGTGTTTGATGTCCACAGTCACAGTTTGGCTCATGTTTAGTCCATGTTTTGGGAACACAAGACTGTTTTTGAAAAGACAAGGGTGGATTTCTGGAGAGTGGGCATGTATGCTGGAGGTAGTCTGCTGTGTTGCAGCCTGCCAATCAAAATCTGCCAGCAATGTCATTCAAGGTCAGAGACCCAGTGAACCACCAATCAAAGTCGGCAGGGCTGTTCGTGTTCACTTGTCAGATTTGGAAAGAGGTCACTCTCTCTGTGGTGTGGCTAGTGTGTGAACAATGAGAGTATTTCAGTGATTGGAAACACATTCTGCCGCCTACCCCCTGGCGATTTCAGGATGCTTGCCAAGGTTTTTCCTATCCTACAGGGATACAAGGCAGGACAGTGGAAAAAGCTGAGTGTTTTTAAAAACTGAGTTATGGATTCTGAAATCTAAAAGCAAACATAGCAGCTAATTTAGTACATAGCTTTGTTTAATATTACTT